AGTCACCTGTTTTATTAACCAACTCTGTTCCACTGCATTACTTCACAGCTGTAACTAGCTGTCACACAAAGCACACAAAATTATCATTAAAGATCAAACGTGTGGAGGACAACCCAAGTATTCTGTTCATTATTAACTGAATACTTAATGTTTTCATTATGAACTTCAGGTAAGAGGATACAGAATTATGAATCAAACTTTCAAACTTGAAATGTCGACCATGCAATTGTCGTAGAAAAACCAAGCACGTGCAGTAATATTTCCATGTTGCTGTACATCAAAACCTCTTTGAAATACTTTTTACTCCAGTAGATTTAGTTTGACACCCCTGTCAGATTATGATATTACATCAAACACTCATGATAATATGATACATTACAGACAGCATATTTTTAGAGGACCAGTGGGGCTCTTTGGGGCAAGAAGCCAAAGTATTCACTTACTTTCTTTAAGTAAAAAACAAGGAAACTATTAAAAGTCAATTCATTGATAGCCTATAATTCAAAAACAATGAATATGCGCACTTTCACATTTCGCATTAACTTTGAACAAAGAATTAATCAAATAAACACGATTCTCTGGCTTTGCCTGTGTTAACCATGTAGTTTGCTGTGTATTCCTCCTCAGATTACACTCAGCAGTTTGTAAGACATCATAGAATTTAATGTCTGAATCAGAGGATGTGGTCTGTTTGGTATTTTTTTAGGGTCTTCTGTGCAGGTTAATAGTATCCTGTGAGCTTTGTTGTAATTACGACCGCGTCTATCTTTAGCCTGTCGGAAATTGGAAATCATGCCTCTTCCAGAGTTTCAGTTACAGCTGCTCATTATGTACGAGCATGTATCATTATAGTCAGGTCGTCATTACATGCCCTCATTCGCAGATGGAGTCGGTGTTATTCTGTTTTTTGGGGAGTAGCGCCATCGTGTGTTGAAAAGACCAAGGCAGGTTGGAAAGTGTAAATTGAAAGGCATTCATGCCGGCGTGGACCTGTCAGTGCCTTACTTCAGGTAGATTACTTCGTGGAATTTAATTGCAAATAATTTAATTTAATTTTGTTAAACTATTTAACTATTTATGCACACACCGTTTGACAGTCTGAACCCCCTGATTATGCTACAGATTTGTTGCCAGTTGACCAAAATTATTTGTGGAGTGTACCATCACCGTTTTAAATATATGTATTTATTAAAGTATTACACATTTGCAGAGAATGCAGTGAGACATGGCCCTGCCATTGTTGTTTTACACTTACACTACACTTGTTATAGAGTCGGCTGTTTTTATGTTTTTCTTTTTCTTTTAGGAATCTGGTTAAAAACTATATGAGTCCACTTAAAATGTTATAATTTTCTTTGACTTGGCAGTCTTCACAGGGATTTTTCTCCCTGAAGTTTTAAAGCTTGCGCCTATATTTTTCAAGAGAAAAGATGGAAATGATCAAATCAGTTCACCTTGACAGTAAGTTTCCCTTTTCTACTACACTTTATTGTATTGCCAGCTGCCACTTAGATGCACTGGATACTTAGTTAGGTTACTTCAATTGGACCCTTTTTAATATTCAGAATTGCCTTAATTCTTCAAGGCACAGATTCAACAAGCTTGTGAGCAATGGAAACATTCCTCAGACATTTTGCTCCACACTGACATAATATCATCACACAGTTGCTGTAGATTTGTCCATCCATGATTCAAATCTTTGGTTTCACCACAGGTGCTTCATTGGACTGAGGTCTGATGACTGTGGAGGACATTCAACCACAGTCATTGTCACGGTCAAGAAACCATTTTAAGATGATCTGAGCTTTGTGACATGGCATATTACAGTGTTGGAAAGCAGCTGTTGAAAGATGGGTACACTGTGGTCATAAAAGGATGGGCATGGTCAGCAACACTACTCATGTAGGCTGTGGGGTTAAAACCATCCTTGGTATCAACAAGTCTTCTAAGAAAATTGCCCTCACAACTTCACTTCACCACAAGTATGATCTAGCTCAAGTTTGGATGGATCCATGTTTTTACATTGTTTACACCCAATTCTGGCCCAACCGTCCTAATGTACAAATAAAGACTTATCATACCAGGCAATCTTTTTCTAATCTTGCATTGTCTCAGACCATGCAAATTGCAGCCTCAGCCTTATAGCTGACAGGACCTGGTGTGGTCATCTGCTGCAGTAGCCCAACATGTTCAACATGTTGTGTGTTCAGAGATGCCCTTCTGCATACCTTGGTTGTAACAAATGTTTATTTGAATTACTGTTGCCTTCCTATCAGCTTGAAGCAGTCTGGCCACTCCTCCTCTGATTGCTGACATCAGAACGACATTTTCACTCACAGAACTGCAGCTCACTGGATATTTGCACATTTCCGTAACATGCTCCATAAACCCTAGATATGACTATGAAGAAAACCTTACTAGATCAGCAGTTTCTGAGCTAGACCAGCCAGTCTGTCTCGAATTACATGAAAAGTCACCTTTAAATCACTTTTCTTTCTGATTCTGACACTTGCTTTGAATTTCTTTTCTCATCATTGGGAGGAAAAAAACAGAAAACAATAACATCAACTTGACCTAATCCAGCATATTTTTTTATGCTTCATTAGTCATATTTGTATGGTTACACATTTGAAATGACTGGTTATTGAATGGGAAAAGTATATACTCAGAAAGGGTTTGCAATGTGTTTTGTGGGTAGGGCTGAAGGGCTTTTCTTTGGCTTTGCATATATATTTCATTCTGCTACTTCATCTGTATCTTGTAGTTTATTTACAGTTTACAGTTTATTTAATATTGTGTGCATACCTGCCCAGGGACTGCAAGTGAAAATGAGCTAGTAGCTAAATCTGTTGCAAGGCCTCTACTCTTATTTGAGACCAGTGTTTTTGTGTCACACTAAAGCTCACAACTAAATCAAGTAAGTTAATTTTTAATATATATAATGCATTATTAAAAAAAACAAAAAAACAAAAAGCCTTTGCCACCAGCTTGATAGTCCAATAGTTCAAGATCTTCTTTGTTTTATATATACATACACTGGCTGTGGCACTCAAGCTACTGAATACTATTTGTCACTCTGTCCAAAGATTTATTACACTTATTATAAAACTCATCATTTCCAGCAGTCTGTTAAGGTTAAGCAGCTCTTTCTTTCTGAAAGGTGAGGTAAACACTTTCTATTTTTATTTTTATTTATTTTTTTTATAAGGCAACTTTTTAAACCATGTACATGTCTTCGTGTCACTGGATCTTATCAGACATGCTCAAGTGCTGGCTTTTTGTTCACTTGGAGTCTGGCAAAACATTTTTATCTTCATAGTAATAAAAAGAAAATGTATCGTGTAGCTGTTCCTGTCCTAGGAGATTAATTAGCTTCAAATGTTAATTGATTTTTCTAGTTATTTGGGTGTTTCATGAATGTTACCTAGTGCCCAATAAAAATGTCATGACCACTACTGACCTTTGCTCAGTGTTGTTAAGTAATGAAAAACATTATTTTTCTGCATCAATAATCAGTTCCTGCCCACCATAAACTACTACCCTGCCCAGGTTGCACCCTACCCCCCCCCCATGCTTTAGTCACACCACCAATCCCTCATTACCTCGAACTTGAAAAGCCTTACCGGAAATGGATGGAAATTAAAATATGGCTAAACACCTGAGAGACCACATCTAAAATAATTTTCTCCACCCTATATTTTTTTTTTCCAAATAATCACTTATTTTTGATTGTAGTAACATTGAACAAGAACATTTTAAACATTTATTTCTTGGACAAAATTTAAACTGTATCCACAAACAAGTTGTATCCAAAGCCTGTTGACACAGTCCAAATGTGAGTACACCATTACTAAGGTTTGTTCACCAAGAGACAGAAAAGCAACTTCCATAAAGATAGAAAAAATCAGCTAATAAAAACAGCTACAATCAACAAAACTTAAATAATAATAATAACAAGTATATGGGGAAAGAAGGAGGGAGCAAAAATGATATGGTAGTGTTTGACTGATTTAAGTCTGTACAGCATTTTATAGAAAGATCTGTTTGCATTAGGTTAAAGTAAAAAGCAATGGACTTTATGGTCATTTAGAGCATTCATCCCAACCAGAGACCTTGAGGAAACCATTACATGCAGCGCCTCTGATCCCAACCACAAAAAAAACTGACAAATAGAAAAAGAGCTTCTTTGAACTTTTTACTGTTGTTTTTTTCAAACATTTGTTGGAAGCAGCAAGGGGCAGAAGATCATTTTTCCAGAAAAGATCTTACTTTAGCTCAACAAAAGGCCTGTATAAATCATTTTTACTTCTATATAAGTTGATTTGCTTGTAAAAACGTTGTGTTTTGTTATACATTAGTTACAGTATTAGCTATCGGTGCTAGTAGGCTGTTAGCTAACAGTGGTTAGCTAGTAATGGTTAGCTAATACTCGAACACTTAGCAATATGATTTCCTTAATATTGTTTATGTTTAACAAATTTTTTGTTAAATATCAATAAAATATAATTGTAACGTTATATGAAACAACGAAAAATTCATAAGTACCCCAAGAGATCTTGGCGAATTTAAAGAGGAAATTAGCATTTGCATGGGCGGGGGTGTAAAAGGTCTTCTTTACTAGTATTTAATTACTTTTATTTTTAAAAAGCTTTTTTTTTTAAATAAAAATAAAAAAGGTTTTTTAAGTTTTAAACTTTTGGTGTGAGTTTGGCTCCTTTTTTGAGTTGGTTAATCTGTTTGCAATTGTATAAACAGTAAGTTAACCTCAACCAAGTTAGCCAAATTAAACAGTTAAATGGACAAGTACAAGATATTCCTCTGCCTTCTAAAAAAATTACTCACTAGGGAGAAGTGAACTTCTTAGAGGTTTCTGCTGACACCATTTCTGTTTTGCAGTGGGCATAAAATTTGCCTAGTAAATATATTAACATGATTTTAAAAGACAACTAAAAACATTTAGGCTCATAGATGCTTATGAACCTACTCAATTCTTGGTGAACGTTTCTGACACTGGTGCCACTTGACATGCATGTGTCTTCAATGATGTGTGTTGGAAGCACACACAGGATTTTCTTTGCTTATATGTATGCAGTGCTTTGTGAGGTATAGATCTCCCTATTTGTTCAGCTAGTATGAGTATTAAAAATAATGCATAGAAGAGTTCTGTTTTGTTTCATTAGATTTTTTCCACCATTAACAGCCGTGACAACGATAATAAACAGACTAAACAGTAATATTACTGACTGCATATACAATATAAGTATTGTAAAAGAAAATACAACAATATTCCTTTAAATCCTTTACACAGACTTATACTTTCTAAATTGAAAACAAATACGTGGCAATTGTGTAGCCTAATTAAGAGTAGCTCTGGAGATTTTCATTTTTCCTTCTGTCTACTTGAGAAACAAAAGTATATGTTATGAATACAACAAACCTCCCTTTTAAAAAAAAATATCACAGTCTCTTGACTGAAAGCCAAAAACCTGTTTGGTGGGAGCCAACATATCTTTTACACGCAAGAAAATCACAGACGTTTTCATTATTGGCTTTTGAAATCTGAAAAGTAAAAAATACGGCTGCTAAACAAAAGAAAAATGAAAGTATAAAGTAGCATATGGTTTTAATACTCTGGAAGAGTACAAATATAATTCCACAGAAGTGTACCAAAGCAAAGTACAGGAAATAGGCCTTTATTCCGTGCACTAAATATCTTCATGCTTAACTGTTATCCGGCCAAATATATGGCTACTAGTTAAAAGACTACTGGAGAAAAGGCGATAAAAATAAAGCCCTTAAAATATATTTTTATTCACAAATTATTCAAAAGATAATATTAATACAGTTTCAGAGCCTGTAAATATATTGTTCTGAATGATTTTTTATTACATGGAATTTTCTAAATGTTCATCCTGAAATTTAAAAAAAGCAAACTAAAAAAGATTACATTTTAAATTTATTATATGATCCACGTGGGACATCCCACTATCCCACATCCCACTACATCATCTATGACCTTGACTTAACCACGCAGTGCAGTTAAGTTTTATTACCATAACCGGACATAAAGATATAGGGCTGATTTGTGGCTGTTGTTATCTCGTCACAGCAGCAAAGGTGATTGAGTCACCTGCTCTTATATGTTATAAAGGCTCAAGCTGCTTCATGGTCTGGACAATCCTTCTTGGTCAGAATCCTTCAACTGTCCAACCAACTGGTAAGATTAATCTCCTTAAAACAAATCCACGAGGAATGAAAAAAGTAACTAGAAAAATTTGCATTTCCTGCAAAAATGCAGTGTGAATGCTGTGTAGCTAAAATATTCAGCTGGAGAAGCTAAAGACAATATTAGAAACTTTTCTGAATTGTAATAACTTAGCAGAAACTAATTTAGCAAAAATATTGGAAAAGCAAAACTGTCAGCTGAAAACAGCTGAACAAGCTGAAGTTATCTCAAAACTACTTGTTGTCCAACTGTGAAAAATTGGCAGAAAATTTAGAAAAGCAAGAAAGAACAGCTTGTAAGACTTGTAACTAAAGCAGCACAAAACTAAGGTAAAAAAGTGCATACCTAACAATTTTTTACAAATTTGGACACACTCACACAGCATGGAGTGAACAGTAATTGTGAGAGTGTGGCCTCTGTGTTTCTGCGGCAGTCACATTCTGTGCCTTCTGTACAGTCATTGGGCTAAATCTGTTCAGTTTTAATCTACCATCAGAGGCAGCCTGTGTATGCTTTCTCAGGCTATTTAATTTTGATCAGAACAGAGAAGGGACTCTGAGTGTTGACAGTGTATAATTAAAAAATTAATTATTAAAGATATATGACTTGTGAAGTACAGCAACTAAATAGCTGAGAAAGGAAAACTGCCTTGACTTGCTCTCAAACATTTTGTAACTCAGAAGCCATGTAGCTATCGATTACATGCTTCTTCTAAAAGTTAAACAGGGATTTTATGAAAATGGTCAAGATGAAAAAGCTAAATTATAGTAATAGCCCAATAATTTGAGAGCATTTTAGAGTTTGAATGTTGTTTGAAGTATGTGTATGTGAAGTATGTGGAAGTAGTAAAGCCAAAACATATATGGAAGCACCGAGAATAATAAAGAGAAATATGAACCAGTAGGAACACGACTGTGTAGTGTTCCTCTTCCTCACATACAGTATTCAAACAATAGCTATAACCGTTTTTCATCCCACAGAAAGAAGATTTTAACGTGATCATGGCTGTGGTCAACCAACCAGGCAAATATGAAACTTCTGAATTCCAGACAGGCGTGTTAGATTGCTGTGATGACATTGGAATTTGTGAGTAACCTTCTTGACTGGTTCTGTAGCTCAAAATATGCACAAAGTTGAGACAGCATTTGCAGCAAGATATAATTGGATACAGTTTTTTTTCAAACCTAAGAAAAGAACAGTTAAAGCAGGTTTTCTTTCTGTTCATACTGGCCTTTGTAATGCTCCATCTACATGTTTGTGTGGTGGAAACAAACCCTCAGTCCTTATTTTAAGTAAATATTTTATGTTCAAATGTCTATCTGAATGTATGAATGTAGGTTTCAGGGCTGTCAAGGAACTGACAAGAAATGGATACCAAACCACTGAAACTTGGTTAAACTTGAATGCATTTTCTCATGTAAAATAAGGACTGTGGATCTTTTTCCCTCATCAGTTATATTAAAAATTAACTGGGAATGGATATTTTAATGGAATGTATGAAGAGCGGCTATACTTATAATAATAATAATAATAATAATAATAATAATAATAATAATAATAATAATGGATTTAAGTTGTAAGTGCTTCCTTTAACACACTTTCTCCCTGCCTTAGGCTGCTTTGGCTATTGGTGCTACTGCTGCCTCGGCTGTTCCATTGCCAGTGACATGGGCGAGTGTTGCCTGTGTGGTCTGGGCATGCCCATCCGTAGCGTCTACAGGACCAAATACAACATCAAGGTAAGTTTTCAGTGGACAACAGGAACAGTAGCCAAGCTTTCTGCACGATTCGCCAATTTAAGTCTATTTGAGGCCTTTTTAGAACCAAAGAAGTGGTCTTTTAGTTACCTGTTTCACTGTGAGTGAAAACTAAGTTGTTACCATCATGTTGTAAGTCAAATATGTTCCTCCTATATTATAAAAAGAGAAAAACTGAAAATGCTGTCAGAGTCAAATTACTAAATGTCTGAAAATGATCATGTAAAAAGTACAAGTACTTTTAACATGTTACCCAAGATTAATCAAAATATATTCGAAGATTAAGAGAAAGGTTAAAAACAATAATATGGTTCTGTCCAATTATGTTTTTTTCCCTTCCCTGTTCAAGCCATAGTATTGCAACGTAGATTCATTTAGGTCATGGATGTCAAAAATCACTGTACATTGTGGGCCACAGACAGCTCACATTTATCTTAAGACTGTAATAGAAAATGTCCTAATTAAAAAAAACACAGCATGATAGCATGTGAACGCTTACATTTTGATTAAGTCTGTAATCCAACCCTGGTTTTTCATATAAATAAATTCTGGTCGTGTCATTAGCCTAACTCCCTTCCCTTCACTGATGTTGAGGCTGCACCTTCTAAGAGTTACTGCGTGTGTTTCCAGGGCTCCATGTGTAACGATTATATGATGGCCATGTGCTGCCCCGTCTGCACCACCTGCCAGCTGAAGAGAGATATCAACCGGCGCAAGGAGCAGGGCATTTTCTGAAAGAGTAACAGTCTTCTAAAGTTCTAAAATGTGTTTTACAAAATATTAATGCCATTGATGTTCTGATGGAAAAGCTACTGCTATCTCTATATACTCCAGATAAAGTGCTGGTGAAGCATTAACCCATCCCTTTACTATAAAAATGTTGAATACTTTGAAAAGTATGGTGCACACCTCAGTGCTGTTTGTTGTAAAATGATTACCCTCCTGTGTATCAGCTGCCCTAGTCACAGGGAAAATCACATTAACCTCTTCTAGTCAGTTAATCATTAATCAGCTGCAGCACAGCATTTCTTTTATCACTACTGTTCCTTCAGAATTTGTACTGTTTTAATAAAATTGTTTACATTTTGAACGATGCTGTTTTGTTTTGTTTTTCTTTTTTCCATCTATTTTTATGAATGTATTTGTACACTTCATATCCAGTTTCATTTCTATTCGATTAAGTCTGCTGTTAGTGGAGCCTGTTCCAGACAACAAGTTCAACAAAGCAGAAAGACAACCAATCACGAATCAAACAGTTAAGACTTGTTATACTAGCTGTATCTAGTTAAGCAGATCTTGATCATTTAGAAAGATGTCAAACAAAATGTTGCTGTTTCAAGTAATTTCAGTCATATATTCACTCAAATATTTACATACATTCATAGTAAAGCAGAAGTATATGTATTAAAGTACACCCCATAATTCAGTAGCTAATAAAAACACTTTTAACAGCAGTAACTTGAATTCTGTGTTCAGTGTGTTTCAGTGTTGCTTCACTTCATTGAGCGTTGCCCTCTTAAGGTTCTACCACAGCTGCTATTTTAATTAGGTTGAGATGTGAACTTTCACTGTCACATTGCAATACATTGCATTTTTTGTTTTAGGCACTGTGTTGTAGATTTACTGCTGTGCTTGGAATCATTGTAGTGTTACGTGTTACATGACCTAACTTCATCCAAGCTTTAGCTGTTGGACAGATGGCCTCACATTTGATTCTAGAATATGTTTGCATTCAACAGTTCATGATCGGATTACTGATTGCAAGGTTCCCGGGTCCTTTGGCTGTAAAACAAGCCCAAATCATCATCATCTCTCCACCACTGTGCTTGACAGTTGGTTTGAAGTGTTTGTGCTGATATGCTGTGTTTGGTTTTTACCAAACGTTATGGTCAAACATTTCTACTTTTTTCTCCTCTGTCCAAAAAACATTGTTCAAGAAGTCAGCAAGTAATTTTGCAGTCATGTTCTTTTTAGATGGAAGAGTCTTTCTCCTGACAACACTCCCAAACACATCATATGTATTCAGTCTTTTTGTTTAATAGTATTGTCATGAACTTTAGCATTCAATGTGCCTATGGAGACTGAGATATAGAATACACATAAAAAATACACACCTTAATGTACCAAACCAGCAAGCTTCTTCTTTATACAGGTGGTCAAACTGAGTGATGATCAGTTTATCAGATACATTTGTTAAGCAGAACCTGGCTGCTACTTACCCTATGAAAACAGTGAGAGTGCACTAAGATTTTCACCACACACTGCTTCTGCATTTTAGCTTAATTTTTGTTAAATTAACAATGACACGGTATAATAAGCCATTTTGTAGTTCATCTGAGGCCACACCAGGACACGCTGGAAAGATTATATCTCGGCTGGCCTGGGAACACCTTGGTGCTCCCCCAGATAAGCTAGAGGAGATGGCTAGAGTGAGGGTGGTCTGAGCTTTTCTGCTTAGGCTGATAACCAGAAGAAAATAACTGGATGGATTCTGTTTTATCAGGACTGTTTGAGATCAGACTCTTTGACATCATCCCATACCAAAGGAAATCATAATTAATATCCCCAATCATAATGAATAATGAAATAAGACCTTTCTTCACAGTATTTTCAAACCTGTTGTAAATTTTGTTTCATGTGGCTCAGACGTAGGACAGTTTCCACAAAAAATTAAAATATTATACTAACACAACAATGTCTACAATATTTGATCTGCTTTATCAAGTTTATAAAAGGTGAAACTAGCAATTTTCTAGGGGGGGAAATCCCCATAGAAAATGACTTATTTTGTCTATGAAGTCAGTAATCTGCAAGGTGATATTTTTTTAACAGCAACGTGTCGGGGGAAAAAAAAAAACAATAAAGCAGAGTAAGCTTTAGGACAGGCCTACCATGTTGGTGTGCAGTATCATCTGACTCTTTGTAATATCTAGATTTAAAAACCAAGACTTGTGCTTTAAAAATACGACTTCCCAAAGTCGATTTATCATCAGTAGCATCTTGAAAATATGTCTGAAGGTTAAGTTAACTAAGGTGCTTGGGGAAAAAAAGTGTCTGGACTTCTTTAGGTTTCTTGAAGATGTTTCACTTCTCATTTGAGAAGCTTCTTCAGTTCTAAGAGCAATAGGTTAGGAGTCCCAGATTTTAAACCCTAAGAGGGTCAGGAACCCCCTATTGATCCCTACCTAATCATACGAGCCAAGGTTTGAAAATGGGTGTAGGTCACGATCACCCAGGGTTTCGGGTTAACCTATTGTGAAATCTAGCCCCACCCTATCGTGTAATTTACTGAGGTCAAATGGCCCAAGATGTGAGTGGGCGTTAATGGATCTCAAAACTGGATTATAGATGGCAGACGGTTGGTGTCGTAAGCCACCGCCTCTGTTCACCACCTTTGTCATTCTTTTGAGGATGCCAATGTTCACCTTTTAGAAAGAGAGGACAGATGGCGTCAAAGAGGAGTGAAAGAAGCCATCTATGTCCACTGTGAATGACCATCTTTGAACAGAGGCGGTGGCCCCATGCTGCTTGGGGCCAGCATGAGTACACTAGCTCATTTCTCCCACAAGCTGGATTTATATCTCCTCCTGTTGAACCAGGGATCTTTCAAATGTGGTAACCACTATACCATTGAACCACTATAAAACATATTTTTGTCTCATAAACTGTCTGTATCATTCAGTACAGCGATATCTACTCCTAAACTTTTGTTAAAATGCTTCCAGAACATGTATCCTGAGTAGAAAATTGGTACAGATGCTGAAAAGTGAACTAAAAGAGCATTTCATCAATTTGTTCTTCATATTTAAACTCAATGATAAAAAAGAAAATCCACTGAGGCAGACAGCGACCTTGAATCAAACGATGATCCTGAGCAGTTTCTTTTAGCTCCAAGTTTAATACTCTGCTGAAATTCATTCAGTGTGGGCCAAGTGATAAATCAAGAAGTACTTGACAGATATAGCTGTATTATCAAGATAAAAACAGCATGCGTTTGTTGTGCGCATCTTATTTTTGACCCTATAACACGTCAACAATCTGAATATAATATCCAAATTTTTAACATGTAAACAACATGAAATTACACCTGAATGTACCGTACAGCCCTATAAATACATGGATGTCACATCTCAAACAAGTCATGCTGGTACCAGAAGGATCTCCACAGTGCTTTTACTACTTAAACTGCAGGTGTTTTTTAATGTCTTTTTGGGGAGAAGCAAGACAAAACTTTCAGGGTGGGCTGACGGATCCTATTGGGAATACTACTGGGTCATCTGGGTTTCCATAGCCTGTGCGGCCCACTCTGGAGCAGCCTGACGGATCTTCTCTAGCAGGTTGTTGACTTGGAAACATAAAGACTGGATCTGTTTATCCCAGGTAGGAAGGGGTTCACGGGCTGCCAGAGACACAAGAAAAAAATTAGAAGGTGCATTTTCCTTTCAAAACAAAGACTATTTGCATGTGAACCATGGTGAAAAACACAATGTGCGTTCCCCTTTGGCCACAGGCCAACTATCTTTTTGGTAGTTCCACTGTCACAAACCCCTACAGAGAATATAATAGAATAGCATAGAATAGAATAATCCTTTAATTGTCCAAAAAGGGGAAATTTGGTTGTAACAGCAGCAGAATAAAAGCACATATTCAAACCGAACAGGACACAGAACAGAAACACACACAGTTTTTACAGAAAAAAATATTTACATCATGGACAATAGTTACAAAAACAGAGTACTGCACAGTTATTAAGATTAAAGTATAGTTTTTTTTTTAATATATAAACTGAGAAAAGTAATGTGCAAGTTATAACAGTTGTTGGGTCGATTAGTGCAAATTACAGCGCTGATGTAAACATCTATGTTTGTTGGGAGCAGTTTTGATTGTACAGTCTGACAGCTGCAGGGAGGAAGGACCTGTGGAAACGCTCCTTCATGCATCTAGGATCCAGCAGTCTGCCACTGAAGGAGCTCTGCAGTTCAGCAACACTTACATGCATGGGGTGGGAGACTCCATCAGAGATGTTATTTTGCCCAGAGTCCTTTGGTCTCCCACCAACCTCATCCAACCTCTTCCTCTCAGCTGCCGTTAAACTGCTATTCCAACATACAACATATCATGGCAGTGTCTCACTACCATCTTGTAAACATTCATTCCTCACACCCATCAGCCTACACTCTCTTTGGCACTGTCCATTGCTCTGAATAAGTGACCCAAGGTGTTTAAACTCATCCATCTTCACTATCTGAACCCATCTGTAACTCCCACTCCTACTACCTCACCACTGTCTCGCTTACCCCAGACATGTCTAGCATTACCCTCATGTACTGCTCTGCCACTCCTGAGTTCCTTATACCACTGTTCCTCCTTTGAATCCCGTCACAGACTTTTCTAGATCCACACAAATACAGTGCAACTCGTTCTCTATACTTCTCAATCAACACTGTCAAAGCTTCTATAATGCCATTTCTGAACATGAAGCAATACTGCTGCTCACTGATCGTCACCCCACTCCTTAACCTTGCTTCAAAAACTCTTTCCCATAGCTTCATGATATGGCTCTTTAACTTTATGTCTCTATGGTTGCTACACCTCTGCACATTATCCTTGTTCTTAAAATGTGTCTGTGTATTTAATGTTAGTGAGCTCAATTTTAACCACTCCCACTGTGTGCCCTTAGATTTAGACTAGCCAACTAGTTTGTGTTTTATTCCTCCAGTTTAAATAAGTAGTAATTAATTCACCAGAAACATACTTAAAAGTGTTTTACTTACCTTTACTTAAAACTTATACTAATTTCTGTCCACTTATGTACGCAATTTATTATATCCTAGTCTTTTCACAAATTCAATTGTTTGTGAATACAGATAACAGTGATTCAGTTCATTTTGGCTACAGTTAGAATCTCTTTCTCTCTAACCCATTGTGTCTGCACAGAGCTGTGGGGCAGCTACCTAAACCAGTGTCCTTATTCTGTAAATGCTGCAAAATAATGTCACAGGGATTAATGTAGCTAGTGCTACATTAATTAAGTGCACCATCCTCCTGCCACAGCAACACCTTTCCAGCCACAGCTCTCCACAATAAGCA